CATTCAGTTCTTGATTGCTCTGCTGTGACGCTCAATGATGGGGGTTTACATGGGGGCACCCACCTGCCCACTAGGAACAGGACTGAGATCCACTAGCTCACTTCAGACCCAAGTGACAGCCGTGAGGATGGCAACTTCCACGCTGGGTTGGCTGGGAACCAGTCACAACAAGCAAAAGGCTTTGTACCCCAGTCCTCTACAGCGAAGGGTTGTAAAAACCAACTCTCAGCAGCAAAACCCCACAGGCCTCAAGGAAGGGCTGGTACCTCACAACCTCTAACTGTCAGAGAAAAGAGACAACTAAGGGGAGACAGGAGAGAGGTCTGTCAGATCACGAATGGTGTGGAGAAAGTGAACCAGGAAGTGTTATTTACTTCTTCACGTAACACACGAACCAGGGGTCACCCAATGAAAGTAAGAGGCAGCAGGTTTAAAACAAACCTAAGGAAGTATTTCTTCACACAATACACAGTCAACCTGTGGAACTCATTGCCAAGGGATGTTGTGAAGGGCAAAAGTATAATTGGGTTCAAAAAGAATTAAATAAGTTCCTGGAGAAGAGGTCCAATAGCTATTAGCCAAGATAGTCAGGGATGCAACCCCATGCTCTGGGAGTCCCTTAATCTCTGACCACCAGATGCTGGGACTGGACTGGACAAATGCCCTGTTCTGTTCATTCCCTCTGAAGCATCTGGCCCCGGCCACTGTCAGAAGACAAGTTATGGGGCTCGATGGACCATTGGTATGACCCAGTGTGGCCATTCTTATGTCATTTAAGAACTGAGGCCCTATATAGGATGGCATGATGCCAGCTTCACCTTTAGCATAAGATGGTCCAGCTTTGGCTTCATATAGTTGTACCCTATTATACCAGTAGAGAATGTGGTCCCTAAGTGAGAGTGAAAGAAAAAATGCATGTGCAACAATGCTAGATTTTACTGTCCACGAACAGGCATGGGTAATGTACCTACCTATTGTAGGGTTAGCCATAATGCCCATCACTATAGCACTGACTAGCTCTACCGGAGTTGACTTGTACACAAATGAGCTCCAAACCAGGATAGAGGTGCATGGGCAGAGCTGTGCTGGGACAGCTGGCACTGCAGAGCACCTGCTCACATAATGCCAACCTAAGCCACTCAGTTCCTCATTTCCAAGAGCATAGCTTTTTTCTGCTCTGTTGTCTTTTAAACCAACTGACCAAAATGCTGGATGAACTTTATTATAAAGACAGGCCCAAGCAGCAAAGCTCCCTTGAAGCATGTGCATGCGCGTGAGAGGTCAGGGGTGGGGCACAAAAGTTTGGGTCCAATGTATTGCTTGCAAGGGACTTGGTAAAGTACAAACACATCCAGGTTATGATTTGGCCCTGCAGAATGGTGTGGAGGCCTGAATACGGGGCCCACAGACTGCATTGGGGCAGAACTTTGCATATGCTCAGACGTAACTTTTGGGAGTAGAGGGCAAAAGCCCTTGAACATAGATCAGTCAGTGATCTTGCAGCTCGCTAATCACCATCACAGGTTGGCCAGGGCCTCTAGACAGAGTTGTCTCAGCTGAGCGAGTGCCACAGAGACACAAAGTATTGGAGTTTTCAGAAGTCAGGTGACTTGGCGAAAACTGTGCGGTTATCCTGAGACACACCCAGCTTTGGGATAAAAAGAGTTTTTAGGCACAGCAGAGAACCAGACAGGGTTTCCAGTCCAACCTCAGCCACAAGTAGAAGGTAATCAAGTGGTTAAACCTCTTCCTAAGGAGAATTTTATTAACTAAGCAGACATTTCCGGAAGACAGAGCTCTTCAAAATCCCCTTCAGAAATGAAAGCCAAACATCTAATCTCCATTCTGTTAGCACAACAGAGGTCCTGGGTTGAGAGGAACATCCCAGTTTGGGCTGATCAAGTGCCAAAAGAGTTTGCAGAACAAAAGACACAAGGATGAGCAGCCCCTCTCTAGAAGCTTCCACATTTTTTTATGGGGAGGCACTTTCATATCGGGGTTAGAGGTGAGCCTTAGTCGGGACAGGACAATTCAAGGGCTGGTTGAAGGCATCTGTCACGGAGTGTGGGGGAGTCAGGGCTCTGCACCCCCCACTTCCTGCGATTCACCATGACTCTCAGACAGCCAGTAAAACAGGAGGTTTATTAGACGACAGGAACACAGTCCAAAACAGAGCTTGTAGGTGCAGACAACAGGACCCCCTCAGTCAGGTCCATCTTGGGGGGGCAGGGAGCTTAGATCCCAGCCAGCTCCAAACTGAAACTCTCCAGCCCCTCCTCTGCCTTTGTCTCTTTCACGGGCCAGGTCACCTGATCTCTTTGTTCTCCAACACCTTCAGTTGGCACCTTTGCAGAGGAGGGGCCCTGGCCATCAGTTGCCAGGAGACAGGGTGTCGGCCATTCTCTCTGCAGACATCATCACACTGGCCCTCTTGGGCTCTGCAACAATCACACATCCTGATCCCCCCACCTAGATACTTCAGAAATGCATAGGGGAAACTGAGGCACCCACACCGTATTCAGAGAAAACATTAAGAACATTCCCACTTCATCACAGCATCCAAGCGTAGTCACACTCAGAAAAGTATCTTAGATTGAAAGCTCTTGGCATAGCATCTACCTGAACCTGATCTGAGCTTTCAGGCATTACCGTAAAACAGATAATAAATAAGAACACTATGAAATAATAATCAGCACTTCACTCTTCACTATCACCTGGAAAAAATGCCGGACTGCGAGAGATTTAAAGAGCTCCATCAATTTACATTATCAAAATGAAGCTCAAGAAGGAGATGGATCCCAGCCCACCTCCTAGCTGCTTGCTCAGTTACCAGTGAGGATACAAAGAGCAGAAGATTTTCAGTGTTTAGGTAGGTGTTTGCAGCACTAGCTATTGGGGAGAAAATAAAAAATCATCTATTGACTTGTAAACTAAGCTCTCTGGCTCCTCAATCACAGCCTGAGGCCGGCATGGCTCTCACCTCTCTAGAGCCTTCTGCAGCTGGGGTCTCTCCTACTGAGCATTTGCTGTCAATGGCCACTTTTGGCATCATGTGCCAATTCGATCGCAGCGGCGTTTACACCAAACACACCCTACTCTGCTTTCTATCACACTTGTCACTCCAGCAGCCGACTGCTTCCATTACAGGGATTGAAACACAAGAGCAGAACAGATGTAGCTGATCGAAGGCTAAATAAAAAACCAGAGGTTCCTAGAGAATGCCCCCAGACAGCTTGCAGAGGCCATGAAGCAGCTGCACAGGATGCGGAGTTGAGAGTCTCCAGAGGCTTTTTGGATGAGTTAAGTATTCACCAACTGGGCTACAACGCCGCTTGAAGCCTCAGAGATGTTTAGCTGCTGTAACAGGAGACCAGAGACCAGCGTGAGACCCATTGAGCTCTACAAAATACAGCTCTCCAGTCTAGCTGGCTCTGAGGAGCCGTGCCCCACAGAGGGATACTGATATCTTAAAACATACCATTTTGGAATCAATTACACGAGCACTGGCCAAGTCTATAGATCACTACCGTTAATTTGTGCACTACATTATGGATGCATGTATGTAGCTAGGCAGTCCTGACTCTGCCTGCTGTAGTGACAAGGCACAGGGAGGTTGCCTCAGACACATATCTATCGAAATAGGACTCTCAGAGTCCTGTGCTGTACTGAATTGGGAACTGCCACATGAAGCTACAGAAGGCTTTGGGTGGCCTCCATGCAAGTGGGTACAGATGGTCCATTACCTCTTTCAGTTCCTCTTCACGCTCCACTTCAGAGCCCTCTGCCCACTTCCTTCCTGCTCCTCCCAGTGGAGGGGGAGAGTTCCTCTTCTCAAGCCCAAAGCTGTTCTTGTTCCCTCTGCCATCTGGGAAGCAGGGCGGCTGGGTCTGGTTTGGAGCGGATTCTAGACAAATATTCCAGCAAAGGAAACAAAGAGGAGCGTTAGAGTCAGATGCTGCCGCCAATGAAGTCTGGGCTCGAGGGGGGAGGGGCTTGCAGGTTTTTTCCTCTTTTTCTTTGGAAAAAGAAATACAGACAAGTCAGTAGCTCCCCCCAAAGAGTCAGGAATCAGATTTCACAGCAGCTGGGAGCTCAGCCAGCCTCCCATTCTACCAGCACCTTGATGATCTATCAGATGCTGCCCGTGGACACAGACTGCCTGAAACCACATCCCAGCTGGCTGGCTGCATCATGCTGAAGTCACACTATCCACCTGCTGCATACAGCTCACGATGTCGCTAGCTAAATCACACACCTTGGGCAGCACAGGCCTCTCTCACCAGCTCTTCCTTAGCTGGTGATAGCAGGTTTCTTCCTACCCCAGCCCCTTTGCTCTTCTTGCCTTTTTCCAGGCTGCATCTTGCATGTGAACTCCCCACCCCAGTACCCAAATTCATTCAAATCCCTCCTTCGCACTCACTTCTTCTAACAAGCCTCACTTTGTGTAGTGTTCCTTGCCACAGAAAAGAGGCAGAACTAGGCTGCGATCAGTACAAAGGGGACTCTTCATTGAGGCGGCTGGACACAGACAGACCCTGTGGTTTTCCCTGACTCTATAGCTTCCAGACTGTGCTGCCAAGTGTCACTACACAACTCCCGAAAGCCTGGCCTGGACCATTCAGTCATGGAAAGACCAGCTGACTATGCTACTGGTATCAAAAAATCCGCCAGTTGCCTAAAGCCTCTCACAGCTGACTTGTTTGGCCTGTAAGCAGCTTGGGGCAGAGAACACATCTTCCTGCATGGAGCATGCTGCAGGCACCTAATGCATCTTTGGAGAATGTCTCTGTGTCCTCCAACTCAGAGCAACAATATACCATTTGAATTCAGGTACTGCCTCCAACGTGCTAGACACGGTCCAAACACACACTCCCTGCCCTGAAGAACCTATGATCTAATAATACTTGGCACTTATAAAGCTGGGCCAGTATCCTCAGCCCCATTTCACAGATCGGGCAGATGAGGCAGAGAGGTGAAGTGACCTGCCCTAGCTCTCACAGGGAGTCGGCAGCTGAGTCATGAATAGAACCAAGGAGTCCTGGCGGCCAGCCCCACTCACATACAAATTGCAAACGGATACAGTCAGCAGCAACATACAGCCTTCCCCCGCGCAGTGACCGTGCCTGGCCCGGGCCAAGTTACCTTCAGTTTGTGTGCTCTTGGCAAGGGGCTGCATCCGCCTCGGACTTTTGATCTCAGACGGAGCCTCTGAGTTGTCACACGCCTCTCTTTTTTCAGCTGGTGCTATGGCCAGCTTAGCCAGTGGTGGTGGATCTCCTGTTGGAAAGTAAACAGTACGAGGCAATGAAGAGGCATTCAGGGAACAGACAGGAGACTGAATGGATAAGAAAGGAGTCAGTGGACAGAATTTAGGACAAGCTCTACCGAGGATCATCTAGTCCACCCCATAGGCGCCGACTTCCCGTCTGCCCCGTGCGTGCTCGACCCACCTACCCCCCCCGCCACCCCTGGCCCTGCCCCTGGCTGCCCCTGCACCACCCTCGCCCTGCCCCAATTCCACCCCCTTCCCCCAAGTCCCCACCCTTGCCCCGCCTCTTTACCGTCTCCTCCTGCAAGAGTGCCATGTCCCCAATCCCCATCCCGAGAGCCCTAAGCGCTGCCAAAGAGCTGTTAGGTGGCGGGAGGGAAGCGCTGGGACGGGAGGAGCAGGGATGCAGTGTGCTCAGGGGAGGAGGAGGAGAGGAGGGGGTGGGTGCCAGGGGAGCTTGGCTGCCAGTGGGTGCGGAGCACCCACTAATTTTTCCCTGTGGGTGCTCCAGCCCCGCAGCACCCACAGAGTCGGCGCCTATGGTCCACCCCCTACCAAGCCAGGACACACTCCCCAGATAGGGGATGGTATCAGACTGTAAAGCAATCATCTTTTACTATTAGGTGGTTACCTACTAGTCAGACAATATTAGACCAGGGCTTTGGAGCGGAGCCCAGAGCTGGAGCGTGGACCAGTAGGTTTTATGCCCGGAGCTGGAGCGGAGCAATTCAAAAATCTGATTGCTCCAAATCCCTGTATTAGACGGCAGCTGTTCACTCCTCACTCTAACGCCAGGTACCGCCCTCTCTAGGAGTCGTTCAACTTTCAGAAGTGTGTTTCCACCCCTTGGGCATTGCCGGGGCTAGTTCTCACATATCAAACCCTCCCGCCCCAGCATCAATTTCTCTATACTCTGAGTTGCCTCTAACTGATCTTTGCATCTCTCTGGGACTGAGGTGATGCTCACGGGGGCAGAGACAGGACAGCTGTACCTTTCTCCAGTGTGTTCTGGCAAAGGGCATTGACAACATTCATGAATTAAGCCACCCACCTTCCCCCACCTGCACCCCTCTACTGTGCCACTTCATTCATTGATGAATCTCCCTTTCCTCTCATCTCACCCAGAAAAAGTCCCCGGCCAAATATACAACATGACCTGGTTCTCTATTTTAAAGCTGGCTTCCGCTCTCTGATGCAATTGGCCTGAGAAAGGGTCAGCACACAGTCATTTGGAAACTGAGAAGTAGCTAGGATACCAACTGGCTAATTCACTAGCTGCCATTCTGCACCAATCCCAACTTCTATATGATTTTTACATTCAGGCAGGGTGGTCGTTGCTAGCTTGTCTCTGCCCATGGACAATTCCTGAGTCCACTGGATTTTCAGACAACGTGGAAGTGCTCTTTCCCTCCACGGCTTTGTTCAGACCTTACAAATGCTGGGTACATTTCAGAGCAGGATAGCTGCTTGTGGAAGAACATGCTTACTCAGCTCTAAATGCACTCCTCTTGCTCCAGCGCGGTTTCCAATGACAGAAGTGGAGCAACTGGAGTTTAGAGGTTTGGTTAATTTCTAATTTTAACATGTTTCTGCAACAGGATCCAGCAAACTGAGAGATCCTGTAGAGAAAAGCAGAGCTGGAATATTTTTTACCCAGAATAAAGAATGCAAAGCATGGTTCCAGTTCTTGTAGAAGGCCTTCAGGCACAATCATCCCTTCGATTGTCAGGGGCCTGGGTGGGTATCTGTGTTTTTGTCTTGTTTTCTTGATGTTTTTATTTACCTTGAGCATGTTCTGTTGAGCTGGGCTGGTAAACAAAAGCTCTCTGATTCTTCACGGAATGTTGATGAGATTTAGCATCTGTGGGGTCTTGATCTAAGAGAAATTAAGGAAAACAGGTACAAGAAGTAAACCGTCTACTGAGCCAAGCCACAGGACACTCAGATGCCCCAGAGATGGCCACAGTAAAGAGTCCTGAATAGAACAGGATCCCTTTTTTCCAAATCAATAAGTTATTCCAGTCCTGGGCTCCCCACACACACAGCAATTCTGACGTCCCTCAGTCCTGGCCCACAGCCCTTCTGCTCTTACGTCCCCACACTGTTCTACCAATGCATCCCCCTACTCCTCAGCTAGAACATCCTCTACTGCCGAGAATCTGCTCAGGCCAAGCAAACCTGCCACGCAGGTTGAACTGTGCTAATCTTGGGGCGGTTTGGGAAGGTAGAATATGCACAAGGCTGAGAAGAGCACAGCCATAGACCAGTGCATTGACGCTAGTGGGGGGTTATATTTGTGTCTGATGCAGAAGTCATCTGCAAGTGCCAATGACTTCAAGGTGCGCTGGGCCAGCCCATCAGATTGGTGGGGAGCGGGTAAAATTCACTGATATAAGATTTGTATTTTTTTAAAGAAACCAGCTTCATAAAAAGTTGAGATCCTTTAACAAAGGCTTCAAGCAGTGGGACTTGGGGGAAGGGGAGAGCGGAGCTGCAGCAAGCTCGGCCCGGCAGGCCAGGGTTGACAGGACTACCATACTTGTCTCTGCTGCACCTTCTGTGGGCAAGCAAGGTGCAGGACTGATGCCCTCACCAGGTGTGTCTACACTGGAGCTGCAGGTGTAACTTCTAGCTCTGGCAGACAGACCTGCGCCAGCTGTGATGGACTAGCATGCTACAAATAGAAATACCGCTGCAGCAACGTGAAGGGCTAGCAGCCTGAATACATACACAGGGCTTCAGACGGGAGCGTTCTCCAGGCACCAAGCCCCAGCTCCAGTCCCATCCAGTTCTTCAGCTTCCCCTGTCAGGAAAATGCTAGACGGGAAGATAACTCCAAGTGACTACAGAACATGAGATCTCTTCTCCAGGCCAGTCAGAATACAACCCAATAATGACAAACCTGCCCTTCCCTCTATCAGATAAAGTGATCCGTTACAGTCTCAAAGAGAACCTGAAAGGCACCCTACGACCTCATCTTCAGGAGAGTTCTGGGGACATTACCTATCAAAGTTCCCTTAAAGTCCTCAAACAGAGGGTTCTTCTGGTCCACTCTCCTGCTTGTCACCTTTTTCCTTGGTGCCTGAAGATGGCTCTCCCCCTCAGCAGAGGCTCTGGACACTTGCGAGTGGGTAAAAGCAATATTCATCCATGAACTGTAGAGATTAAAGGTCTAGTTAGGAAAATAAAGAGCCACATATATGCAGATGAAGTTTCCTTCCCCTAGGGTTAAAAGCCAAGCCTAAATGATCTGTGATGATATCTACCCCCAGTCAGGAAACCTGTGATCTAGTTGTGCAGATTAAGAAGATATTTGAACCGGAGGGGAAAAAAATCAGCTGTCTGGATTTTGTGGCCGTGTAAAAGATTCTAAGATGGTTGGCCATGTACTGGTAATTTGGAACACTAACATCTGATGGTCCTTCAAAGAGAAGCTTTCTGTATTTGGTGCTGCAATGCTTCCATACGATCCACACACGAAGGAATTCTCGTGTAGAGCAGGGATACAGACTGAATGCTATTTTGCCATGCAACAGCTCATAAACCTTATGGTGAAGTCCTTGCACTGTCTCCAGCTGATCCCCACTCAGCCCCTTGATAAATGCTGAGTTTATGGCTCAGTTCCCACACCTCCCCAGATGAGAGCTGTTGTGCTAACTGGACCTACAAATGTACCCGAATTGTGAGTTAAACTGTAAAAAGTGAATGAACATTTATAGCGCAGGTAACAAAATGGAAGAACTAGAACTACTGGTGCAGGAAGTGAAGCCAGATATGATAGGGATGTCAGAAACATGGTGGAATAGTAGTCATGGCTGGAGTCCAGGTAATGAAGGCTACGTGCGGTTCAGGAAAGACAGAAATAAAGATAAAGGTGGTGGAGCAGCTTGTATGTTAATGATGAGGTAGACTGTAAAGAAATTAGAAGTGATGGAATGGATAAGAGAGTCCATTTGGGTCAAAATCACTTGGGGAAAGAAAACTACCAGAGGCTACTCTAGGATAGTGCTTGGGGTATGCTAAAGACCCCCGGATCCAATCTGGATATGGATTGACACCTTGTTAATATTTTTAATGAAATAAATACAATCGAAAATTGTGTGATTATGGCAGACTTTAACGTCCCAGATATAGATTGGAAGACAATAGTAATAGTAGGGCCCAGATTTTCCTGGATGTGATAGCTGGCAGATGTCTTCATCAAACAGTCATCGAACCAACATGAGGTGATGCCATTTTAGGTTTGGCACTGGTGAGTAGTGAGGACCTCATAGAAGAACTGGTTGTAGGGGACAACCTTGGTTCGAGTGACCATGAGCTAATTCAGTTTAAACTGAATGAAAGGATAAACAAAAACAAATCTGCAAGTAGGGTCCCTGATTTCAAAAGGGCAAACTTTAAAATATTAAGGGAATTAGTTAGGGAAATGGACTGGACTGAAGAACTCAAAGATCTGAATGGGGAGGAGGCTTGGAATTACTTTAAATCAAAGTTGCAGAAACTTTGCCTGCATCCCAAGAAAGGGGAAAAAATTCATAGGGAAGGGTTGCAGACCAAGCATCTCAAAGAGGTGATAAAGAGAAAGCAGAAAACCTACAAGGAATGGAAGATGGGAAGGATCAGCAAGGAAAGCTACCCTTTGGAGATCAGAAAGTGTAAGGATAAAGTGAGAACTGCTAAAAGCTAAGTAGAGTTGGACTTTGCAAAGGAAATTATGTCCACCTAAGTTAGGTCGGCACACAGCCGACGCAGTAATTAAAGGAAAGAAGAAATAGGACCGCCAAGCACTGAGGATGGGGTGGAGATTAAAGATAATCTAGGCATGGCCCAACACCTAAACAAATACTTTGCCTCAGTTTTTAATGAGGCTAATGAAGAGTTTAGGGGCAGTGGCAGGGTAGTTAATGGGAACAAGGATATGGAAGTAGAAATTATCACATCCAAGGTGGAAGACAAACTCAAACAGCTTAATGGCACTAAATCGGGGAGCCTGGATAATCTCCATCCAAGGATATTAAAGGAACTGGCACACGAAATTGGGAGCCCAATAGCAAGGATTTTTAATGTATCTGTAAACTCATGGGTCATACCCTATGACTGGAGAATTGCTAACATAGTACCTGTTTTTGAGAAAGGGGAAAAAAAGTGATCCAGGAAACTACAGGCCTGTTAGTTTGATCTCAACTGTATGCAAGGTCTTGGAACAAATTTTGAAAGAGAAAGTAGTTAAGGACATAAAGGTAAATGGTAATTGGGATAGAATATAACATGGGTTTACAAAAGGTAGATCATGCCAGACCAACACAATCTCCTTCTTTGAGAAAAAAACCTGATTTTTTTGACAAGGAAATGCAGTAGATCTAATCTATCTGGATTTCTGTAAGGCATTTGATATGGTTCCACATGGGAAATTATTAAATTGCAGAAGATGGGGATCAATATGAAAATTGGAAGGTGGATAAGGAACTGGTTAAAGGGGAGACTACAATGGGTCATACTGAAAGGTGAACTGTCAGGCTGGACAAAATTTACTAGTGGAGATCCTCAGGGATCGGTCTTGGGACCAATCTTATTTAACATTTTTATTACTGACCTTGGCGCAAAAAGTGGCATTGTGCTAATAAAATTTGCAGACAACATAAAATTGGGAGGCATTGCCAATATGGAGGAGGCCTGGCATATCATACAAGAAGGTCTGGATGACCTTGATAACTGGAGTAATAGAAATGGGATAAAATGTAATAGTGCAGTCAGGCACTTAGGGACTAACAAGAAGAATTTTTTCTATAAACTGGGGATTTATCAGTTGCAAGTGACAAAGAAAGAGAAGACCTGGGTATGTTGGTTGATCACAGGATGACTACGAACCGTCAACATGATTGCGGCCACGAAAAAGGGTAATGTAATCCTAAAATGCATCAGGCGAGGTATATCCAGTAGAGACGAGTAAAACGACACTAACACTTCCAATACACTGGTGAGACGTCATCTGGAATACTGTGTGCAATTCTGGTCTCCCACATTTAAGAAAGATGAATTCAAACTGGAACAGGTGCAGAGAAGGGCGACTAGGATGATCTGAGGCATGGAAAACCTACCTTGCGAGAGGAGACTCAAAGAGCTTGGCTTGTTTAGCCTAACTAAAAGAAGGCTGAGGGGAGATATGATTGCTCTCTATAAATATGTCAGAGGGACAGATACCAGGGAGGGAGAAGAGTTATTTCAGTTAAGTGCCAATGTGGACACAAGAACAAATGGATATAAACTGCCCATCAACAAGTTTAGGCTTGAAATTAGACAAAGGTTTCTAACCATCAGAGGAGTGAAGTTCTGGAACAACCTCCCAACGGAGGGGGAAAGGAGGGGGACACGGACCTAACTGGCTTCAAGACTGAGCTTGAGAAGTTTATAAAGGGAATGGTACAAGGAGATTGCCTACAATTGCATGTAGGCAATCTGCAACTGCTAGTAGCAAATATCCCCAATGGCCGGTGATGGAAACTAGATGGGGAGGGTTCTGAGTTACTAGAGACTTCTTTCCCAGGGGCTCGTCCACATGCTCAGGGTAAACTGACCATCATATTTGAGGTCGGGAAGGATTTTTCCCTCAGGTCAGATTGGCAGAGATTCTGGGTTTTTTTAGCCTTCCTCTGCAGCCTGGGACATAGGTCACTTTCAGGTTTAAACTAGTGTAAATGGTGGATTCTCTGTAACATTAAGTCTTTAAATCATGACTTGAGGACTTCAGTAACTCAGCCAGAGGTGATGAGTGTGTTACAGAGGTGGGTGGGTGGGGTTCTGTGGCCTGCGATGTGCAGGAGGTCAGACTAGATGATCATGATGGTCACTTCTGACCTTAAAGTCCAAGACACGAGGCCAGAGAGAAGGAGCCAGATGACATCACCATTTCTACTGGCTAAATCCAAATACCGCCTGCGATGTCAGACATGGGCCTGGTCCACACTACCCCCCCACTTCGGACTAAGGTACGCAAATTCAGCTACGTTAATAAAGTAGCTGAATTCGAAGTACCTTAGTCCGAACTTACCGCGGGTCCAGACGCGGCAGGAAGGCTCCCCCGTCGATGCCGCGTACTCCTCTCGGCGAGCTGGAGTACCGGCGTCAACGGCGAGCACTTCCGGGATCGATCCGGGATCGATTTATCGTGTCTAAACCAGACGCGATAAATCGATCCCAGAACATCAATTGCCTGCTGCCGGACCCTCCGGTAAGTGCAGACGTACCCTTGGTCGCATGCCCCACCCCCTTGTGTGTTCTTTTCCTTCTCCACCTTATTTCTTCACCTTCCCATCCCTCCCTCTCCTTTTTACTTCTCTTTAATAAGAGTCTGGCTTAGCTGGCCAAGACTGCATATTTTGCAATTCTGCTGTAAGCCTGTGAGCAAAAAAGGCAGCTACATGCAAGGCCTCAAACAGCCTGAAGCTGGGACAAGTCTGTCAAGTCTCTGAGGGTATCTCCACACAGCAACTAGACAGGCCAGCTGACTTGGGCTCGCAGGGCTCTGGCTGCGGGGCTGTTTCACTGCTGTGCAGACCACTTGGCTTGGCTTGCAACGCAGATGTAGGATCCTGAGAGACGGGAGGGTCCCAGAGCTCAGGCTCCAGCCGGAGCCCGGAAATCTACACAGCAGTGAAACAGCCCGCAGCCTAAGCCCCACGAGCTGGAGTCAGCTGGCACAGGCCAGCCACAAAGCCTTCTTTGCTGTGTAAGCATACTCTGAATGGCTGACCAGACAGTGTGCTGGGTCTGTGTTTCTCCAGCAGTGAGGCTGCAAGTGAGAGTCAATACCAGAGCCAGAAACTGCATTTTGTCTCTTTGCTGTTCTTTTCTCTCTCCCTTTTGTGTTTATTCCTCTTGTCTTGTCTTCTAGGAACCAGGATTGGACTTGAACAGCAGCAGCAGCAATGACAGAGCGAAGTCCTCATGTTGCTCTGGATATTTCAGGAGCTGCACTGCTCTGGAGTGAATGTGTCCAGCCCTCCTTGGCCAGAGGGATGGGGAACAGTCACAGTAACGTGTCTTGATGGTAAGAGCAAATACAGTCGAGCGAGAAGGAAACCCACGCAGAAGAAAATCTCCCAGTCTAGGGCGGTGCTAGTTGGGGATGGACCTACCCATCCTGCTGTGGAACTCCTGCTCCATTCCCTTGATGGCTCTGCTGCTTCTTACGTCCCTCCTCTTCCTGACTGCACAAGGACTTGGTAGCACCAGCCTTGGGAAAGATGCAGGACATTAGCAGTCTCATAATGGAAACTAAAATGTTTGCATCACAAGGTGAAGACACCAATATAAAATTGCTCTTTAAAACAAGGCATGCTCTCCTTCCCTTGAGCTACATTACAGCACCCAAGGAACTGGCTAGGGTTACAGATGGGGAAAGAACATTCATCTCGGGCCATACGGGGAGCGCAGGTGTTTACTACATTGAGACGAAGTTCCACATCACGCAGTTTAGACTCCCCTCCCTCCTCACCTAAGGGCCAACTTTAGGCACCTGCTCCTCCTGCAGAGGCCCCAAATTCTCCTAAACATCACCCATCTCCTGGGACCAATGATCTCTAGTACACATTTCCTAGGGTTTGGTGCTCTGTCCAGTTTTAAGGGCCCCAGGTGATGGAGTTTCCATTACATCCTTGATGAGACTAGAATCCACAAGCTAATCCACATCACTGCGCCAAAAAGTCCTTCCTGTAGAAAAGACTGGTCTAGTGGTCTTAGGTGACTGTGGACCTTGAACTCCTGAGTTCTGCTTCTAGCTCACTGTAATGCTTGAGTAAATGACTCCCTTCACCCTGCATCAGTTCCCCAACCTGTAAAATGTGGAGGACAGTCCATACCTAGCTCACTGGTATGCTGCGAGGTTTAGTATCAGTGAAGTGTTTTGAAAAGCTTGAATTTACCATGGCCAAATTATCTCCCCTGATCTTCCCTTCCCAATGCTCGCCATTCCCTGCAGTCTCTGTAAGAACGGTTGGCACGATCCCCACCCTCACCTTCATTCAGGCCCATAACCTGGGAGTTTCCTTTCATTCCTCTCTCTTCTTTCCCCGCATATGCAAGTCATATCCAAATCTTGCCACTTCTTCCTCCATAACCTCTCTATCTCTGCAGCTAAGAGCTCATGTCCAGGCCTTTATTTCCCATATTGACCTCTACAACTCCTCCTCTTCCCTGGCCTCCCTGCCCCCTACTGCACCTTCTCCAGTCCATAAAAAGCTCACTGTGCATTATCCCCTTGCTTCTTTAGAGTCACTGATTGCTTAGGATTCCCAATAATTCCTGAATGAAGGACTTCATCCCTGAGCACCAATTAAAGTCAAGTGCTGCAGCCAAAATCTTACCAAGAGTTCCGACACTGCTAGCCCTCCATATGGGTCCTCCTCGCAACTGGAAGAAGAAGAAGAACAGTCCCAAGGACTGCTCAGTGCATCTATGTCCTGAAATACAGAAGGAGGTGTCCAGGTCAGAGCCCACTCCACTCTCAGGCAGTTACATTTTGATTTTCTAACATCTCTGTGTAGTTTCAACAGGATATGGTGTTCTTCTTCAGCTGCGGCCAGTAAACAGGTGGTGCTGCTTTCCATCACGGAGGTAACTGCATTTCAACGTGGGGAGGTCATGAAGCAATTGCTATTTTTATGGTCCATAAAATGCTTTGAAATCCTCCTGTATGAAAATTGTCATACCAGATATCAAAGATATAAGACCACAGCGAAGGCTGACCAATAAGATATTAACCCTGCAATGTTCAGGAAGATTTTAATCATTTCAAGTATGCTTTGCAAGGATGGTAAGTACATTATATATTCCATACACTCACCAGAACTTGTCTTTAGCTAACAAATAACCTAGTTAATTGGCTTAAATATAAATTATACATGAAAGTAAAAGGTATAGAGTTGAAATGTGAAAACCTGACTGATATGAATATAAGTCTGTGTTGTTTTAAGCTTTCAAGTCTGGATTACCTAGCTAGAAGGCCAGATATGGATTGCTAACTGCATTTCATTTTTGCACTGTACATGGTGAAAGATGCTGTCATTATGTACAATGTGGAAGAGAAATCACCATGATAATTAATGAAAACTGGAAGGAAAGTTTGTGGTTGGAGTCAGAAAAGCAGCTATATTTAAAAGTTTCCTTCTTACTCAAGCAAGCTTCTCCTATGTATCTCTGAGTCACACGGTAGCTGCTCAATTTGCTAACACAAACTGCTCTCCCAACTACTACAATGCAGTGACGGCCGAGAGAGGTGGATTCTGATCTGCCTCGTGCATCCCACACAAAGCTGGAAGGCCTGTCAGCTGAGAGGCTATTTGGGAGGGCCCATCATTGTGGTACCTATTGCAAAATCTTCATTACTAGTGAGGAGGTCAGAGGCACATGCGCATGTCTAGATTTGTTGAGTTGCTGCTCTGATGACCAGGAGATTGCTGAGCGATGTTCAGTTGCCGAGTTGATGGCATTTGTCTTGAATTCTCACTTCACAGAGTGGGCCCTGTGAAGGCTACTGTCTTCATTACTAGTGAGGAAGTCAGAGGCACATGCGCATGTCTAGATTGGTTCCTGGGTTTGACCTTCCACGGTCATCTTGGTCAACTCTGAACCAAATCCAAACCAACCACGGTAGATGCGGACATCTAATGCACAAATGGAAAATCAAGGACACCCTGGTGTGTGAGTGTGGTTCCCCACGACAGACCATCGAACATATCACTACCTACCGCCCAATTTATAAATATGAAGGAGGCATCACTGCAATAAATTCTGCTACTCCTGATGTAGCCATTTGGCTCGATCAACTTCAGGTGAAATTGTAGTTGCTGCTCTATGCCAGCCATGCGAAAGAAGAAGGAGGTCTAGATTTTCAGATCCCAGTGCTGACAGAAAAACCAATCGGTGATTGATTTACAACCAAAGCAAATGGGATCTGGAGTCATTCACTGAACTATAACGTATCACTCAACCTTGCCTGATACTAAGACGTTTCAATGAGAGCGGAGCGTGCTCAGCACCTTGCAGGATCCGGCCTTTAAGTTATCAAAGTATCTGATGTGATGTGAGCCAGTCAGAGGAATCATCCCAGTCCTCTGAAGGAAGAGCCATAAGGTAAAGTAGTTTGCAGTCCACTGCAGACTGCCGATTACTGTGCTTGCATGCCCACTCTTTATTACCAACTTGAATGAACAGAAACAGGGACAAGAAGGAGGAAAGTTATAGATGTGAACATGTTTTGGGGTGCCTCAAGTTACCAACCGACAAGGTGTAAAGTGGCAAGAACCTGCCACCCCCCACAGACATTCATGCCTTGCAGAGAATGCAGCCAAGTCCGACATTTTCTTGCCTGAAGTTGGCAGTTATTGGAAAGTTTCACTAAACAGTAGCCTATTCTCATCTAAGAATTCAGTGGAAGGCCTGCAGGTCAGTTGACAGGGAGCAATCAGATATGTAGATATCAGATTAATCGTCCTGTAAGTATATAAGAAAAGGAGAAATCTAATGCCGTTTCTATTATACTTTCCTTCTCTCTTTTACTGGAAAGAGTGACAAACTTGAGGGAGAAAAGAAACAAAGCTGAACGAAGGCCAGACGATAGGATTCACATGGAAAGGTCCATAAGCACCTGAGGGATGTCACTACCAAGGACGGAGAGGGATCGTTTAAGGTGCCCAAGAGGGTATAACTAGGGGATGGAATTAAGAAAAGGAAACCAGGCTGAATAGAAGGAGAAAATGCATGAAAGCAAAATCTTTTAGTCTGTGGAAGAGTCTCCAGAGGGAAAGTGGTAGAAACCCCATCACCTGGGGTTGTTATAGTTAGACTGGACAAACACTAAAAAAAAAAATGTGCCACAGGAAACAATCCCGCATTGGCTGGAAGAGGGGCGGGATGCTCTAACAGGCCTTCTCCATCTCCAATTTCTGAGTAGCTTTGAAAAGAGCAGCATGGCACAACTTGTAAGGGGCACAGACACTTCCACGGAGGGAACAGCAGCTCCACAGAGATCCCTTCAACATGCCTGGTTCAATGGAAACAATGCCCTTTCAGCCCCTGCTCACCTTCTTGTTCCCAAACTCTCCCCAGCCCCCAAACTCTCGCATCTTTCTTCTCTCCCTCATTTCCTCCTTCCAAACCAACCTGATGCTACCTTCTTATCACCTCTTCTTCCAGTCCTCCATCAAATGGATGCTATTGACCTAAATGAGAGACAGGTGGGAGTAGGTGGACATGAAACCCATTCTCTAGAACCTTAGTTCCATGCTCCACTGTTGCTGCTGTCAATATTTATAGTGAGACACAGTAACAGGATGTTAGTTCGGGACAGAGGTATGTTTAGCTCCAACAGGGGCAAAGTGCACTTGCATGGCACCATTCAGAACACCAAGTCTAAAGGAGCAGCCTACCTGTGGTTTTCTATTCTCCACCTACTTTGGCAGTTTGCTCCCACATTTCAAGTCTGACTAGATCTGTGAAGCTGACAAATGCTCGGAGCTCCCCTCCCAAACAGGGGTTTAGCCCTCAGCCTGTGTCAAGTCTGGGTGGAGTATTCTCATTGAGGCTCAGAAGAGTCCTCCCAACCCTGCAGTTCATGAAGCAAAATGTACTAAAAAGGCTGCAGCTTGGAACCGACAGATTTGCCATGAGACAGTCAACCAAGGACACTGGCAACAAACTATCCTGGCAGCAGCCACATCTCATTCCCCAGTCACTGCTCAATAACCCGCTCCCGGCACAGTAGGAAGCCAGAGGACAACCTAGGAGACACACAAAATATTCCAGAGCTCTTAGCAAAGGGGACTGGATTTTGCCTTTAAACAGCAAATCACTGATGCGGACCGGAATCAGTACAAAATACACCACCGCTACTGGTACTATTTAGTCCCCTTGGAGGGGGTCTCAACAGAGAGGAAGATCATGGCCACTGTCAGAAGACAGGATACTGGGCTAGATGGACCACTGCTCTGACCCAGTATGGCTGTTCTTATGGTGAAAGAGACAAACTTTCAAGCTCCACAGAGCTCTTCTTTAGGATGAAAAGGCCAGCGACTCACTGGGGCTGTCAATCAGCCAGAAGGCTGTCAATCTTTCACCAACACAAAATTCACTTTGGAAAGTTCTTTTAAGAAAATAAGTGGTAACATCATCAAAACCCATCCCAAACGATTTCACATTTACATTAAGAGAA